ACCCATACCCACCCTAACTCGTCATAATAATACAAATATATGATTCACATTACTTATCGACTAGTTTTTTTATTTTATAGCCAAAGGACATTTTAATAATGGCGGACATTTTCTCGTAGGACTATATGTCAAAAGACTATTTCTAAAGGACTTTTCGTCGAGAGGACATTTATAACACCGGACATTTTCTAAAGGACCAAAACTGTAGGACATTTCGTCCAGGACATTTTCTAAAGGACATTCTTGACGGATACCTTAATGAAGGAAGTGTCATTTTTATTATTCCTATATTAGATACAATTGACAAATAGTCAAATTAGTCACCTTTTTTTTCCAGGAAGAATACGTGAATGATTTATTGTAGTGAACAAATAATTACACTGAAATATTATATAAAAGTTCTCTTTCTATAACAACTGTGTCATGTAAAATAACGCAATAGTTCACATTTTGTCATTCTTTAGTAAAAACTTTTTTTCCGATTATATAAGTTACGGTTACAATATAAAATGCTTTAAATTGTGTTTAGATTTAGAAAAAAAATTACACTCAAGTCGTGCCAATTTTATGTTCTATATTTAACATGAAATACACTGAGATAATTAAAACTAAATTTATATCTTAATCGAAGCGGAAATAAATTTTCTAGATTGTGTGACTTCCTGCAAAATTATAAACCAAGCATTCTTTTAATTTCTATATTATTTACTCCAACTAGTTTATTAAAACATAATAGAATATTCAGTTCAAGCTATTAAGATTATGATGAATATAATTACATTTGTATTGTGTTTAACTACATTTATTATCTGTTCATTAACATGTTTATTTTCGTGTATTATGTTAATTTGTATCATTCATCATCTTTGTCATAATCGTTTACAACAAGAAGATCGAATAATATTTATTCATTGTATTAATATTTATTCATTAGTTTTAGCGTATATTGGAATAATAGCATCATTTAATATTCAAACAGTTTTAGGAAATTTATATGAATATGACTTTAATTCATCGTGGTGTGTAGTTTTAGGATATCTACCACCTATTCTAATCGGTTGCATATATTGGGCTTTTGTAAATCAGGTAATTCATTGTTGATTAATTAGAAAAATGAGAACTTTTTGTTTTTATTCATAATCTAGGCATTCTTTCGTCTTTGTCGAGTTGTATATCCAAATATAAAATGGCTTCAATCATATCGATTATTTATTATTTTACCATTGATAGAACTAATTCTAACTTGTATTTTAATGAGTTTGATTCTATTTTTACATTCTGTTGTTTATCTTCCAACAGATTATTATTGTTTTGTACCAATTACTAATATATACAGTATGCTTTGGCTTGCATTTAATGGTTATGGAAATCAGATTGGAATATTATCATTTATCTATATACGCATAACAATTTTTCTTCGTCGTCAAGCAAATACTCAAACACTTATTATCAAACAACGACAAGATCGTGATGTACTCGTCATTCGACGTATTCTTATAACTGTTAGTTTTCTAATAAGTCTTGGAATGCCTGCTATGGGTTTTCTAGTGGTGTCGTTGATTACAAACAAAGATTATCTTCTTACTTTTCCTGTTCTATTTTTCTTTGTTGGTATATCAATGGCAGGCGTATGCATATTAACAATCATTTTTACACCACAACTGAAAAAGATTGTTATGAAAATAATTCAACATAATCGTGTTGTACCTCTGAATAGCAGTTTGATAGGTTCGATTCAAACGAGACAATGATATATCTACACTAACATAAATTTGAATTTAATTTTATTATTTGATATATATTTGAAATAGAAAATATAATAATAAAACGAAATCGAAAAGATTAAAGAATAAATAAATAATCAAGTAGATGTATTTATATAATTCTCAATTTTGTATATAAGATAAATTCAATATCTATCAAATAGATGTCCACAAGTTGAACAGAATTTAGCTGAAAGATCTTGTCGTAATGCATTACATTGTGAACAAACTGTTGCAACTGGAATACAATAAGCAGGAGGTGCATAATTATCTTGTTGTTCAGAAACCGACATTGGTGCAGGTGCAACTTTACTTGAATAATGTATTTGATTGACAGTTTCTGCTGGAAGAGAACGACCAATATCAATGATTAACTAAAAATCAATAAAAGTATATTTCTGATCGACCATAAAAAATTACACTTACATTATATGTTAGTTGATTTCCATATGGTCCACCACAATTTCTTGAAGTACCTAATCTCCAACTACACGGCATTGAAGATCTCGATGAATATTTCGCTGATTCTTCAGCAACAGCCTGTAGTATTTGTGCTATATGTGTCGGAATTGCAGCAGAAATTGTAATAGGAACAACTACAGAACCCATAGTAATCAATATAGTTCCAATACTCATTGGTATAAAAAATCCAAGTCCATACGGGTAAATTGCCACTACTCCACCAAAAATATGACAAGCTGTTCCAGCAGTTAGGATCACACCTAAAATCATGCAGCATTTTCTTAAAAACGCTTTGGAAGACGAAACTGTTCGATTAATTTTATTAATTGATTCTTGAAATTCATATTGACTAATTATACGTAGGATATCCTGGACACGGATTCGCCTTTTTCTTGAACGGATTCGCGTACATGTGCGTTCCAACTCTGGTCTCACTGGTTCCAAATAGAACTTTTTGAGCTCTATCGATTCCAAAAAAAAAATTTCAAAAATACCCTCCCTTACCCCTCAAAAACCCAAAAAACTGCAAAAAAAACCCGAAAAAACATGAAATTTATTATAAAACACGAACGGATTCGATTCCTTAGCATCCAACATGATTCCAAGACTGGTTCCAGATCGAGCTCGACGAGCTCTATCGATTCCA